CACACACAGAGTCTCTTCTTCCCTCATTGTTCTCTCTGTCTCTTTCTCCCCCTCCCTCATTGCAGGGATGCATGTGCACGCACATGCGCACATGTGCGTGCACCCCCCCCTCCCGCTTATGGCCTTGGGGTACCGGGGTGGGCCCCATGCTGCAACAGTCCGGTGATGCAGTCATGGGTCATGTGGTGCTGGAGCAGCCAGCAGGCAGGCAGGGAAGCAGTGAAAGCTGTGGCAAGCAGTGGTTTCTGGGTGGGGGGATCGGGTTGAGAGGGGGCTGAGGGTGGGGTGGAGATGGTTTGGCCTTGCTACTGAGGACTGCCAACTCCCCCTGGGCTCCTACTGCCCCTGGCTCCTGTAACCTTTGACATGCAGCCAGGAGCAGTTAAATATAAATTTTCAAAGAATTTTAAGGGCCCCATGGGCTGGATAGAATGGCCTGGTGGGCTGTATTTTGCCCACCCCTGTTCTAGGGGGTTCCCCAGCTGGTGCTGGAGGGTGGTTGAATTGGAGCCCTCACACCTCCGATATACCTGCCCCACCCTCCAGTGTGGGCTGAAAACCCCCAGACTGAACTCCCTCTGCTCTTTTCCCCCCTCCCATTCTGAAAAAAAGCCTGAGGCTGGCCTGCAGCACAGACAGAAGTTACAGAAGGTGCTCTGTTTTGAAACATCTTCATCTGACCCCTCGTTGCATGAGGGGTCAGATTTTCACCCATGCAGCCATTTTTTAAGCTGTCTGCAGTGCTGCACTTGTGTTTGGTCATGATTATAGACTGCTTTCTGTGGCCAGATTTGGTGAAAATTACCACTTCTGTTTGCACCCTTAAAGATGCCTTCAAGCAGAAAGCAGTGAGGCCTGACCCTGTCTTGAGCAAGAAGTTAGACTAGAGGACCTCCTGAGGTTGTTCAGTCCTGCCTTTTTATGATCCCATGACATTCTCACTCACAACACTAAAATATGTATTTCAGTAATCCTTTAAAAGGGTCTAAAAGTGTGTTAAATCAATGTATCTGTACCTGTTTCTTAAATACATAATGAATGTTACATTTATCATTGGTGAATACTTTGACACCCACCAGAACTAAATCAAAACTTATTGGAGTTAGCAGGAATCTTTCTCCTAATTTCAATGAGCTTTGAATAGCTTTAACTATAACTTCTATTGTGATATAAACCAATATACGCCATGAGATTTATATAGGAAAATATGATCTTATTTTTAACATAAACTCTTGCCTTTTCCCAGGACTCCTGGACTTGAAGACACAGTCATTCTAAAATTCTTGTTTTCTCTTAGTTTTCATTGACAGCATTACCTATTTTTAGATGACTTAACAAAATCTATTGAAATGCTTCAGTACCCATTATCCCCTAAAATAAACTTCCAATAATATAACAATAATAAAAAAGTATGAGGGTTACAATTTGTATTCCTAGGACAATGTTTGCTGCTTTATTTATTTATTCATGACTTGATGACCTCCTTTTGCTTTTGTGTGAAACAGATGGAGTTTTATTCAGATCTTCATTCTTCTTTACCTCCTGAACAAGGCTGAACAAGTCTACATAGGAAATGGAGGAAGATTGTTCTGCAGAAAAGGAAAATAGCTTGTAGCAGACTAATCCTTCTCTCCTCAAGTCTGATTTTCCATGGAGAGTCTTACCATAATATAATGGATGGAATTTTGCACTGTTTCAGGAGAATGAAGAAAGCACCTGATTTTAAGATAGATTCCAAGTGAAGTCACAATGTATTTACTTTTGTGTCAATTTTGGAAATAAGTTCTCCTCAATTTTTATTTTAAAAGTATCTGATTAACTACCAGAAGATACATGAAACCAGAAAAAACACAAATTTGCTAAATGTACTATAATTCCCCACCCAGGAAAAATAAAACAGTTACTTTTTAAATCCTTTTTTTTTTAATAAATGAGCATTCATTCATCAACATTTTCATATATTGTCCCTTCATTATTCAATTTGTGATGGTTTGTTCCCACTCCTGAATAATACCAACAATACATAAATGTGCCATAAGTAGAAAAAAAAGCATAGATTTCAGTTTATCTTTACAATGGGATAAAATCAACTTAGAGCTACCCACAATAATTTTCCTAATGAATGATGCCAAAATGACATTTGTTATATTCTGAAGTAGAAAAGGGCTAACTAACTATGGGAACCTAGTTATGGAATGAATTACTCTGGTGTAAAGAAGTTAGAATTATTGTTGTTATTACTAAAAGTTTAAAATCACTGATAGGTATATAACATTCAGGACCTGGCATAAGCTGACAAAAGCCAGAAACTGTAAAGTTAAGGTAAGCTTGTTCTTAACATGCTGTGTGTGTCTGTGATGGGGCTAGAAGAAGACAGAAAAAAGGCACGAAGGTGTGAGTTCAGGAGAGTGTCAGCCTTAATTTAGAATTTGCTGGCTTTTGTCAGGCTTCAAAATACTGTGCAGAGTATGACGTATGTATATCCCACAACACTGGGCAAGGCTTATGTGAAGAAAATCCTGTGAAACGTCCACCAATTTATGTATACATACTTTGGAGGGAAATAATATATCCCCTCCCCTCCGCCTCTCCCCCCAAAAAAAGAAACAGAAAAAAAAAAAGCATAATGAGCAAGTGGAACCAGCCCCCGTTTCAAGTCAATGGAAAGACCACGAGTGACTCAACAGAGCTTGAACTGGTCATTTTTCTGCAACAAAGAGGACTAGAAAAGTTCCTGCTTTTTAAAATGAAAGCTAGCATTTGTATCTGGTCACATCACTCTAAGTGCTGAGCCTTTAGGAGGAAATACAGAGACTAGCACTAAAATCATGGGAGTTGGCCATGCACTTGTGCTCAGCAACTGTCATATCTGGCCCCTCTGAAAAAGCAATCTAATCCAGTTATTTCTTCTGACATGGCCTACTCAAAGGGTGCTTTATATATGTCATTTTTCTCATGAAAAACCACTGAAACTTACATATTTTAATCAAAATGCTTGCTTAATAAATTTTAGGGTAGAAAGTCAATGAAGGCTTGTAAAAACCCTATTAAGTAAGTGCTTTTAGTGATTCAAATATTTAAATGAATGTATGACTATAATGTCATGAAGCTTATGATCTAATCCATTCTCAGTCTGAAAATGATTGAGCTATTATGAATCTCAAAATACAATTATGATCTAGCATGGAAATTTATAATGGGGAATTTTAAAAAAAGGGATTTTTTCAGGCCAATAATGACAGTTCTTTTGGTGCTTTTAATGCTATGTTGTTGATATATATTACCATTGCTTAAGTACCACAGTGATAGTTGCTCTGAATACACCCACCCTAGACAAATATGTGGGAACTTAAATGTGCTGATCCCACAAACACTTGCACACATGCATAACCATTTACCTACACAAATCATGGCAATTGAGAATTAAATTACAGCTTTTCTGCAAGCTGCTTGCATAGGACAGGATCTTGTTGTACTATCCTATTCATGACTTACAGGAAATGTTTCAATAATACCAAGATGAGTCCAAGAATCAGATGCTAGCTCAGATCTTGCATCCTGAGATTTTGTATGTTGAATTTTAGCCCAGAACAAAGTTTATCAGTTTGCTCCAAGTAATTCTGTACCTTGGAGCAAATTAGAATCAAAATGTTGAAAGACCTTACACTGTAGCAGCACAAATACTACTTACAGACAAATCAGATATTACTGAGGGTACAGGGTATGTTGGATCAAAGGCAGCCTTTTCAAGTTCATCCCATTTTCCTTTTTTTTGGCAGTTGTATATCCACACATTTTTCCTCCAAGGATGTCTCTGGATAATGCCAAAAACTGGAGTCTTCCCACCACCAAGTTCCCTTGAAATTCCACAAGAATGAAGAGAACTGGCAGAACCATGCTTACATCTCCTTTTTACACCTGCATCTCCTTCTGTCCTTGGTTCAATGCGTGAATGTTTGTGGTAGAAACATTGTTTACAAAAAATATATCTTTTTTTTCTTTAGAAAGATCTGGTTCTGATAAATAACAGTTAAGTTTACAGCTTTGAACTGGCCTCCTTTTACTACTAGAACTACAATATTGGAATACTGAATACTGATGAGGGGATGAACTGGAAAGAAAACAAAAGTGGTCATATTTGCATAAAGAAATTGACTGAACATATTTAATTCTAAAACAAGACATATTGTTTGTTATTGTTTGTGATTTATGACTTCAGAATACTGGCTGCATGAGTGTCCAGATACATACTGTGTGTATGTAAATAAAATATGAAAATGGTCTGTTGTTGAATTGGAGTACTAGAAATGTTCTATTTCTTTAAGTCTAGATAATAAAAAGTTGCAACTTCACAAAAACAAAAATATGACACAGCATGCAGTCACAACAGCAAGCACAAAAAAGAAAAATCCTGATAAAATATACTTATATGTGCATATTATGCAAATATATTTTACATTAACATACAATGTTATAAGACTGTTTGACAAAATGAATGCAAGTTTAAAAAAGAAAATAGCTAGATGGTTCCATGTTGAGTAGCAAGTAACCTGAGATGTCTTCTATGTTTTTACTGGAATAATGATCTTTAAAATCTATAGTGGATGCAGAATATGTTAGCAATCGTTGAATTCTTAACTACATTGTGCTAAAAATGTGTTGTTCTCTGTCAAAATGGCATGTTAGTTGAAACCAGTCCAAGTGCAGCAAAATGCACTTTACCTTTTAGTACTTACCAAGATTCCTTCCAGTGCCAATGGATATTTGAAATGGATGTTTGGAAGTATTATGAACACATGCATATCTCCAAAACACTACAGCAGCACCTTTCCTGTGACCAGGCTTACTTACTGCACAACAGAAAATAAGCGATCATAGAAAACTGCTAATCTAATACAACATAAAAAACAAACAACAAAAAATATTAGCACAGAAAATAAGTTTGGTGTGATGAAATTAACATTGATGCTATGCAATTTTAATGACCTATCTGAAACTAACTAGCGTAACTATATCACTTTCTGATTAGTGTGTATGGCAGCATTTACAAATAATGTTTTTGAATACTGATTTTATATATGAGGACAGCTGTTTGAAAACTTCAATGACACACAATGTTTTGCGATGATATTATACAATACTTACTTTCTCAAGGCTTAATATTTTGAGGACACCTGTTTTTCAATTAAAAAAAATCCTCTGATGTGCATTCTATGATAAATTGTCCATAATCTCAGAATGAATATGAACATGTGTGCATATACATATAGTGTATATTTCTATGCACCCTCCCGCAATATATGTATACACACATACATGTGTATTTTATATATAATAAAAGTTCATATATATATAAATATATATAAACTTGACAGGCAGAGTAATATTTCACTTATTGTAATTGAAGTCCTTTAAAAAAGTTCAGTCACTCAGTTAACATAGTATAGCCAGTAAATTAAGTTGAAAAGAGAAAATGTGAATGGAAACACCATCCTTGACCATCTGTCTATGGCATTCACATCAGTTAGATCAGGGATTTTTATTTTCATTTGTGAAGACCTTCTTCGTAAATGGCCCCTCTTGCTGTGGGGGCCTGTTCTGTCCATTGTACGTCTTCCAAAGCTTTCCCGATGTGAGCTGTGTTTTCTGTACTGGATTCCTGAGTTGTCAAAGGACATTGTTGAATTTCTAGCATCAGTAACACTAGTTGTAACTTCATTGCTTGTTACCTCATTGTGGATTTCAAGCGATGTTAGCAAAATATTTCCATGGGTATCCACCTAAGTTGGTAAAAGGAAAAAATGGACGTTAGAATTTCAGAATTGTTTTCATGTGTAAATAAAATTCAAATTCATGGATGTCCCAAATTAACAAATTGTATGTCTAACTGTAAACATATGAATTACTTCTTTCAAAGCACACTCTGTTGGTTGAACTTGATACTTAAACTTTTTGCTGGATTAGGATCAGAATCATGCTAAAAGCATATGATGCAAAAACAACACATTACACACTGTCAGACACCTTTTTCCCTCCAAAAAACCTGCCTTTTACAGGATTAGGTATAAATTAGTGTTTTATCTGCACTGCTGGGGGGGAGAAAAACAACACATTGACAGAACTTCCACTATAGGAAATTAAATACATTGAAAAAGTCTTCCACACTAGAATTATTATTGTTATTACCAGAAAAATAAAGTGCTCATAAAATGAGAAGAAATGCACAAAAGCAAGGAACACTTCAGCTTTGCTGAAATGTTTCTAAAGGTATCCTGAGTTCTTTGCTTTTTAAACTTTTTTGCAACTTTTCAGCTCTTCAGTCTAGAGACAATATACCTTTTGATAATCAAGCCCCAAACCCCCCTCATTCTTGACATTTAGGCAATATGAATGTAGCAGGGCACTAAGGTGCTTGCTACTGGAGGTAGTGTTACGAGCTCAGCTGCCAATCACCAGGGCAGCACAGGTGCGGGTTGCTGTGACAACTGGTCTGGTCAGCTGACCGGAAGGGGGCAGGGCCTGGCCTTTATAAACAGCATAGGCCGAGGCCAGAGTCTAGTCCCCCTCTGGCTGCCAAGGAGGTAGGAGCTTGAGAAAACCCTGATGGGGAGGTAGATGGAAGCAAGCCAGGTTGGCTGGGAATTTATGTTATAGCCCAGGGGTTTGTGTTCATGGTTTTAGTTGTTGTGGTGTGAGAAGCGCGGTGTAAGACCGGAGGATTGGGTGAGGCTGTAGGGGTGGAGGAGGCCTCATTAGGAGCTCCCCAGTAAGGTGGGGGTGCTCCGAGCACCAGGGAGGGTGCTGCAGTGGGTGCGGGTAGGAGCCCAGTGTGGGCTTTGCGGGCACAGGGAGGAGACCCCAGTGCAGGCTATGCGAGCACAGGGAAGGGGCCCAGTGGGCATGGGCACGAGAAGTGTGGCGCGAGAAGCGCGAGAAGGTGAGATGCGAGAAGCGCGAGGGGCGCAAGAAGTGTGAGTAAGGAGGCGTGAGAAGTGCAGGGGAGGTGCGAGAAGCATGAGCAGGAGAAGCATGAGTAAGGGCCCTGGTGTGAGCGGGGGCATGAGAAGCGCGTGGGGTGTGAGAAGCGCGAGCATCAGAGTCACCGTGCCAGGGAGGGAGAAAGGCAGCCTCCCTTCAATGAACCAAACATCAAAGACGTGGCGGGCGAGAGATCGAGGGTGCATTAGGAAACCTAATCTGGCACGGTCGGGCAGGGGTGCGAGGGGAGATCACGGCACCCCAGGCCCCGCCCTGTCACAATGAACAACTACAGCAGTAGCTCTCAACATAACTGGCTCCATGGACTGGAAGAGTGGTGCAGGCCTGTTCTGTGGGCTAGATTCAGTATGCAGGATCAGTCCATGGGCCTGATCCAGCATGGGGTCAGTGTGCAGGGTTGGTGTGTGGGTGGAATTCTGTGTGCCAACCTTGCCCTGCATGCTGGCCTGATCCTGCATGCTGGCACAATCTCATGCACCTGATACAGCTGTGTGATAGCCCAATCCCATGTGCAGGATCCAGCCATAGGGCATTACATAATTCAGCCTATAGTGCTCTCAATGGGTCCTGAAATTTTGCAGCAGGGGAGCTATAGCAGTGTTAACTGCTGTGGCTCTGGGAGCTGTGACAGTTAATGCTGCCACTGCCCTCCCACTGCCACAGGTGGCATCGTGCCACTATTCCCCCCACCACCAGTGGTGATGCGTAGGGGGTGCACAGGGGTGCACATGCACCCCCTGAGAAGACCAGTGCACCCCCTGACCAGCCATGCTTGCTGCTCAGGTGATAGGTGGGGGGGGCAAGCTGGAGCGCCAGTGTCCCACCTGCAAGTGCCAGCCAGGGAGTGGAGAGCTGCTGCACTCCCAGAAGTGGCCACAGTGATTAGCTGCAGTGATCAGCCATCTCACAATCAGCCACGGAGGATCCCCTCTGGTGAGCAAGATCAGCCAATGGGGGACACTCCCCCCAGCTGGTTGGTGACTGGTCGTTGTGGGGGGCATGTGCCCTCGCTGACTAAAGTGGCACCAGTTGCCCATGCCCACCACCAAATGGACCTGTGGGTATACCCATACACCAGATGACATGATTCTATGATCCAGATCTGGTCTGGAGTTGAGCACCACTGGCTTAGGGGGGTCTTGAGCATGTCTGGGTCAGGTATTTAGAATCCCTTTAACCTGCCTATGCAGCTTAATTGCAGGCTTGGGCAGCAGATGGGTAGGGCTTGTTTCTCATTGGCAATCTGGACACAGTCAAAAGGAATAGTAAAGTGATGCAGGAGGAAAAGCTAGTAAATTCAGTCAATAGGTGTTACTTTCTCCTTTAAGACTGTATTAAGGCAATGAAAAACATGGCCTTGGAGGTAATATTCTCTTGGGAGGTGCTGTCTTTTCTGATGAACTATGAAACAAGGATCTGATCATTTTTGCTCATGAAAATATCCTGCTCCAGATCAGCTGCTTCTTTTGAACATTACAAAGCTGTAGGTAGTCAGATGTCCCTCCTTTCTAGCTTCAGCCCTCTCATCTGACTAACAGCTCTGGTGTCCAATCCTCATGGACTTTGTATCAGAAGATAATTGAGCCCACTCAAAGTCTACAAATTGCACTCCTTCATAGCATCACAGGAAAGTAGAGCTGGAAGCAACCTCACAAGATCATCTAGTCCAGACCTTTGATCAACAGAGAATCCTTCCAGACTAAACCATCTGAGCCAAATATCTAACCTACTCTTGAAAACTTCCAAGTATGGAGATTCCACAACTTCTCTAGATAGCCTGTTCCAATGCTTAACCACTCTCATAGTCAGAAAGTTTTTCCTAATCTCCAACATAAATTTCCCTTGCTGCAGCTTGACACAGTTGATCCCAGTCCTGTCCCCTACAATCATAAAGAAAAGCTCATCTCCATCCTTTCTGTAACTGCCCTTTAAGTATTTAAAGACTGTTATGAAGCCCCCCTTAATCTTCTCCAGACTAAATAGCCCTAGTTCTTCCAGCCATTCCTCATAAGCCTTGCTTCCCATGCTCCTCATCATTTCTATTGATCTTTGCTTTACTCTGCCCAAACTGTCCGCATCCTTCTTGAAGTGTGGGGTGCAAAACTGGACACAGAACTCTAGGTGAGCTCACACCAGTACTGAACAGAGCAGAATAATCACCTCCCTTGATTTACAAGTGACACCCCTGTTGATACAACCCAGTATGTTGTTGGTTTTTTTGCAACAAGAGCACACTGTTGGTTCATATTCAGCTTATGGTCTACTGTAAAGACCCCCAAGGCTTTTCTGAAGTAGTGCATTCTAGCTAGTCATTCTCCAATCTGTACTTGTGCATGTAATGCTTCTGTCCCAAGTTCTGGACTTTTTGCTTGTCCTTGTTGAACCTCAGCTGATTGATTGCAGACCATTTCTCCAGTGCATTCAGGTCCTTCTGGATGTGGGTTGCCTGGTCTGCATCCTATCCTCCAGAGTATCTGCAACTCCACCCTATTTGGTTTCATTCACAAATTTGCTAATTGTGCACTTGTCTAAATCATTAATGATGATATTAAACAATACTGGACCTAGGACTGACCCTTAGGGAATCTCACTTGATACCTCCTCCCAACTAGACACTGATAACTAATCATTAAGTAAATGGATCCAACCAGTTATGTATCCACTTTACAGGACTTTCATCTGATCTGTATTTCCTTATTAATGAAAATGTCATGGTACACAAGTGTCAAAAGCCTTGCTAAAGTCAAGGTATATTACATCCACTCTTCCCCCGACAACCACAGAGCCTGTCACATAATCAGAAAGAAATCTGGTTGGTCAGATTGACTTGCTCTTGGTGAATCTGTGCTGGTTGTTCCTGATCACTTTGTTGTCCTCTAGGTGCTTCACACCAGAGTTCCTGAACAACTGCTCCATCATCTTTCCAGGTATCAAGGTCAGCCTGGCTGGTCTGTAGTCTCTCAGATCTTCCCCCTTCCCTTTCTTAAAGATGGCCACTATGTGTACTCTTTCCCAGTAATCCAGGACCTCACCCAACTTCCATGAGTTCTAAAAGAGGATAGCATTGGCTCTAAAATGACCTCAACCCATTTCTTCAGTATCCTAGGGCGCGTGCCATCTTGCCCTGCTGACTTGAAAGCACCTAGTTTTTTTTAAGCAATCCCTAACCTGTTCTACTATTCTAGGCTTCTTACCCATCTTTGCTGCCAACCACTCATCATGTGGTGCCTCCACCCATGTTTGTGAAGACTGAAGTAAAAAAGGCATCACATACTTTAGCTTTCTCTGCATCATTCATAAATAGATTGCCTTTTGCATTCTGTAAGGGACCTGTGGTTTCTTTGATCGTCTCTTGCTTTTGACATTCTTGTAGAATTCTCTCTCTGTCTGTCTCTCTCTCTTTTTGCCATTTATGTCCCTTGCCAGCTGCATCTAAAATCATGTCTTGGCCTTGTCTTTCTTTCTGAAAGCCCTTACTCTTATACTCTTCTCTAGTGCCATGACTAAGTTTTCACTTTTTTACAGAATTTCTTTTCTGAGTTTCAAATGATTTAAGAGATTGCTCCCTAGCCAAGTGGGTCTCCTGTTGCACTTCTCATTCATCCGTCACATCAGGACAGCTTGCTCCTGTGCCCTTTAAGATGGTCTTCTTAAAGCAGAGTCACCTCTTGGACTCCTCTTCTCCTCAGACTTTCCTCCCAGGGGATCCTGTCCACCAGTTTCCTGAGTTTGCTAAAGTCTGATTTTTCTGAGGTCCTGTGTCCTTATTTTGCTGTTCTAC